CGTTGGATTGGTGATTCATTTTCATTCTCTGTAAGATTTTATTAAAAATCATGATTACACAAATTTCAATTCATCACTAATATTTTAATGTCGGCTTCTTTAAAGAATTTCAATAATATTCCATCCGAAATTTTTATTGAAATATGTAAGAACATCGCGCCATTGGATCTGATAGTATTAAGTTCGGTGTGCCGTTCTTTTTGGCGCTGCCTTTCTTCACACACTTCTAGTACGACTCAAATGATTTGGCGCATCTCACGTGAGCATTTTCTATGCCACCCTAAGTTACCGCCACCAGTAGACATGTGCGAACAAGATTACATTAGTCTTGTTCTCTACAATAAGTGCCAATTTTGCAAGAATATTTATTCGTCAATTATCTGGGTCTTCCGCAAACGATTTTGCAAACTATGCTTGAAAGAAAGAACAATTTGGTAACATACTTGCCGTATTAATGTTGCCTTAAACGTCTTGAACACTAACAATTTTAATATATATATTAATAGCTATAATGATTTCAATGAAGCGTGGAAAAAGATTCCATTAAAAGCAATCCGTGGACTTAGATATATTAAGGTGTACAACAAGATTCCTTATACTGAAGAGTATGAATTACACCGATACTATTTGATTGAAGACATCAAAATTCTTTATGATGAATTTATAGTCCTTGTCCTCCAAAATAGAGATAATGATTTTATAGCATCATGGGAATTGGATAAACATATGAAAGGCAACACTTATATGAAAGAAATCTGCAAGTATTCAAAAGAGCAAATGTCGGTTCAATCTACTATTTTCCGTAGTAATATGATCAAATTGGGAAAGATCTTAGATTCTCTGATGGAAGAAAGATCTGTTGGTGACAATCGCCCAAAGTATGAGTTGGATATTTTATATGATTGTCTTGATGTAAAAAACGCGTTTTCAACAACTGATCAACTGCTTTTGAATGAGAGAGAATTTGAAAATATGAGAGCATCTTTAGTCGCCATGTATCCAGAAATCAAGAAGAAGCGTAGTGAGAAAGGAGCGAAAAGAGATAAAAAAATTCATACAAATCAGAATGTAATTAGCGAGATTATTGAATAACGTAGTAAAATGTTGAAAATGTGAGCTTTTATGCAATGCAAGTTTGTGAGGTACCAATATATAAATTTATTATAGGTGATGCCATTAAACTATGCACATGAAAAATTGTCTATTTGAACAATATTTCTATATGTACATATCGCTTTTATTGTATAATTATATCTATATAGTTACAGAACATGTTTTTTATGCGAGATTCCAATACTTAGAGATCAAATAAGTTGACATGTTTAAATTTATACCGTAAACATTCGAAATTTCGAGTAACTCATGTGGTACATCAAAAAATGCAGCGGACTTACCCTTTAGCAAATAAAAAAGGACCATCGATATCTTTAAGCTCTCCGTCTGTAAATTTGCCTAAAAGGAGTTCCAAGTTTCCCACGTAACCATGACAAACCATTTAACTAACTTAAATATAGTAGTTTAGCTGATGCAACGCTTAAATCGGATCATATCCAGAAGTGTATAGATTAAGCAAGAAAATAAATGTATGTCTTCCCCACAAATTGCTGTTATTTTTTTTTTCTCCAAATAAATTCGCAAGTATGATCTTTAATTCCATACTTAGTTCTATTAAAGAGTGGAATTCTGAATTTTAAACCATTCCACAAACCTTCGATTGTATTCTACGAAAATTTGTAAATGATTTACTGTCTCATGGTCATGTTTAGCTCTTTAATCCCCTGGTAACCTCTCCACATGTTTGTATATATAATTGATCCCGGTAAAAAAATTGCTAGATCTTTACGAAGAGATACTCATGTGGCTTGTTACGCGAAGTAAGAGACTTTTAAAGCCTTATATTTCTGTTCACCAGATCTCAACATCTTTTTCGATTATTTCAACAGTACCGATAATAGCTGTAAAGGAGGGTGTCAAAAACAAAAAATACATAACTTTGTAGGCTTGAATGAGATTTACAAAATTCTGGTGCCTATTATATAATGATCATCATTCCACAATCGATTGTGACTGTGGTGAAGAAAAACGCTTTTATTATATCAAAAATCTAGCTTAACGCCCTTCCATATAAGTGATGTATTTTCCTGCGTCACAATCGATTGTGATTGTGGTGGGGAAATACTCTATTACATATAAGGATCTTTGGAGAATGAGTCCTGATCAATCTCTAAAATAATCGATGGAATTTTTTGATGAAATAGAAGCACTTGCCTTTGCCACAATTGATTGCGGAGATTTTATATTATTTAATAAAGCTATTGTAGGTTGTAATATTAAAAAATTGAGCAACCAAGAAACAACTACTGTAATTTGCGGTAAATAGTACCCCGGGCCTCTTACATTCTTAGGGACAAAATCTTGATTAGTGCCCAGTGGGTACTTTGTCAGGGTATTTTATGTAGGGGAGTTTATATACGGAAGATACTTACATGCAATTAGGCAGACCAATCACTTACTAGGATTAAAAAAAGATTTAGAGGATGTCATGTACTATATAACGATAAATTGCGTTTTAAATATACCCGATCATGTTTACGACACATACTTGATTATTGCGCTTTGCAAAATTCTGTGACCCCTCCCTTGATTACTAATATTTGTGATGAATTGAAATTTGTGTAATCATGATTTTTAATAAAATCTTACAGAGAATGAAAATGAATCACCAATCCAACG